CAGATATCTTTATAAATTCTAAGCTTAATGACCTATATCTTCATTCAAATTTGTCTTTTTTTCGTATATTTCCGATAGAATCGAAATCCCGATAAAAGATCAATGGCCAGTGTCCTCCCTCACTAGAATTAACAGCCACATCCTCTGGAGCAATCAACAGTTTGCATTTTAGACGATGATCTTGATGGTCATGATCTTGATCTTGATGTCGACCAAAGGCCTGCAGCATTCGGTATTCCTCACGTATGCAAAGCCCACCCTTGCAGCATGTCTGGTGGTTCCTGGCCTGTCGTCACAGTTTGTCTGGGTCTTCTCGATGTTCTGCACCTGACGTAGATGCATACATACAATTGCGAATGCGTCAATCACCGAGACGCTGGCTTGCAAAGGTTGATAACGAAGAACGGTGTTTGATACACGTCAAGTTTAAGGCCAAGGCCACATCCATACCCTGCAGCACGCGCCCAAAGACCGTGTGCTTGCCGTCCAGCCAGGGGCATGGGACCGTGGTAACCTTGAGCTCCAGTTGAACACTCCAAGTCAGCAGAGCGCGCAGGACTGCATGCACGGCACAACTGAGTGGACCACGAAGAACTGAGATCCGTTGGTATTTGGCCTGTGCAACCAAGAAGGTGACCCACGTGAGCCCAAGCTATGCTCTGCCAGTCTAAAGTACACTTTGAGACGTCTTAGCGCATTATGCTGTTGCAAATCCCTCGGTCTTCAGCCTACCAACCAAATTGTGGGAAGCATAAGCTTGCCAGTGGGACCCTGCATTGGCCATGGACAGCGTGAAAGGGCGATCGTGCTTCAAGTTGCGGTGGAATTCGTCCTGCCCCATCAATCAAGCAAGCAATGAAGAGCAATCAATCAAGCCTGCACTCACTGTCTACGAGGGAGCGTCAAGCCACTCTTGGCAAACGGAGGATTTCATCTCGGGCAAAGCCGAACTCGCTGGGAAGGGGTTGCTGAATAGACACTACCATGAGGCACACATGACAGTTTGGCTGAAGCCGCACCTCGAATTCTCCGCCCCAAATACTCTCACCGCCAGTGCCATCTCCCTGTGGATCTCCGGTCTGGATCATGAAGCCCTGTTCAAACCACAGACCATTTGTCATGACGCCCGGTGCCCTTGCAACGTCTTCTGCATCTGTTCCTTGTTGATCCCAAAGAACACTATGAGCCTGGATGACCCGATGGAAGATAATGTTGTCCTGGACAGGCATCTCTAAATTCGATGCGCGTAGAGGCTGCATTTTGAGCTCCGATCGGCAACTGGCAAGAAAGTTATCATGCATTGAAGACCATGGCGCCACACATCGAATCAGGAAGCGCCCACCAACACTACTGGGCTCACGGCGTAGTAGCCGTTCTTGCAGTGCACCGTGAAGTTCTCAACTGATTTTGGACACTCCTGCAAATCGGCATCGGCATGCTTGTCTGAAGAGGTTTCAAGCCTTCTGAGGCCGCAGATTCTCGATCCTGGTAGAAGAGCTTCACGACAATATCTCCCATCGTGGTGTGGATGGTGGCCTGCTTGCCTAGAGGGTTCTCTGTCCTGCACGGAAGGAGCGGGACATCTCCAGCAAGACGAGCTTGCACTGAGCCACCCTCAGGAGATTTCTCAAACTTTGGTCTCGCACGTGAAACCCTGCTTGCCTGATTGAAGCTGCGACAGCTGCATCTTCCTGCGCTGTGTAGCTGTGCTAGGTTCAGGAACTCGACACAGGTGGCCGCACGCAACAGGCATTGTGCCGGTGCCTTGGAAGGCTTCTCGTTGAAGATGTCTCTTCCCAACTCCGCAGTTGTTTCAGGGGGCTCTCTCGTGCTGAACAAATAGAACCTGCCACGACAGTCATGTAGCAGGGTTTGCTGCCTGCGCAATGAGCGGCATCTTGGGGGGAGGGCATGGGTGCGATTTGCACCTCACTGATTCAAACATCTACTATTTCAGCCCCAACACGAATTTTCTTGCTCGGAGTGTTTCGGGGTTCCTACACGCTGAACCCTGAACCCCACATCCGACCGCAGCCCTAAACCCCGGCCTACAGACTCCAGTGCTTTGAAATAGAGGTCAAGCTTTCGCCCCCCCCAAGTACGGAGCCCTTATGTTGAACCGAATTCTCCCCGGACGCGGATTGCCAGGAATTCATCTTTTCCGAATATTGATCCGGCCTTCAACCCAGCAACTTCGCCACGACGCCCTGAAATAACTGTTGAAGGCACCCCTCTTCCTGCACAGTTGCCTGAAATCTTCCCCGTAGACGTGGTAGCACAATGTGCTAGCCTGGAAAAAGCACTTGATAGCCCTGGGCCTGTTCTTCTTGTATGCGGTGACCAAGGCGATTGGGTCAGCGGACTCCTCTGGCCAGAAACATCGAGAGAAAAGAGATATAAAGAGAGAGAGGGAGAGCAGACACACTTGAAGGTACTTCACAGTCACGTCTCACGTTTCTCAAGGTCCAATCAGTGTCCTTCTGGTCGTTCTCCCCCTCGACAACTGACTCTCCCAGAGCTGCCTCTGCAAAAAAGTCGGAACCCTTTTGAGTGGAACCGAATGCAAACGCAACCGAGTGCGCCTTCCTCTTCTGAGCTTTGCCCTGGTACAAGGCAAGGCCCAGAAATCGCTCGGTCTGCTCAACTTTGCCTCTCCAGGACTCAGTCCAATATCATGTCCTCTCTAGCACATCCCATTTATGTCCGTTCAACTAATACAACAAATACAACTTGCATCGAACTACATCGCTGTTGCTTCAGCTGAACCCAAAGAATTCGCCCTAGCATGAGAATCTCTTCTTCCGGTGGCCGATCACTCCACCATCCTGGCTACTGTGGCATGGTAGCAGTTCCTCCGCCAGTCACATATTTCTTGGCTTTCCATGATGTCTTTATGCGGTTCATGGTCGCAACTGTTCGGAGCGACCACCCTTTACGCGTCGGTGGCATCAACAGCTTTGGCAGGGCATCATGACCATTTTTAATTTTAGCATGTTCGGTCCAGCTGTCTAGGCTCCACGAACAACTTTCACGCACGAAGAAACTGGGTGGTTGCAGATGCCGGGGGCCGTGCCGAGAATCTTCACGAGCTTGTTCGTATGAAGATTGACGATCTTGACGCCAATCTCGACAGGAGGCAGTCTGTGCTCACCAAAACGACATACAAGATGTTGAAAAGCAGAGTACACAGTGATTCAGCAGTACCCCGGCACTGACAATGCACAGAATCGGCTTAGGTGGCTCAGAGCAGCGCAAGCGATGTGAAGACCAAGAAGTTACAGGATTCGTCGAACACGGCCTGTTGCAGAATCAGTAAGCACACTTGCCCCGTTGCACCGATGATTGCACCAGTAGTGCACCAGTAGCTGCAGTAGCTGCAGTAGCTGATGTGATGATCACGGACAGATGAGTCTCTTATAGTCTCTTGCCTGCTGGTACATCTGCGCAGAAGACTTCCGCATTTCCTTCTCAACAGCGATCCGCCGTCCAAAATCGAACCTGGACATGTGGAGGAAAGGAAAACGGAAAACGACCCGACAGGAAGTGGCACCACGGCCTGTCTAAGTGAAGGTCCCCCATGTTGGGGTCGCTCTGAGCCGCAGTGAACATCTCCATCGACTCATCATACGCACGAACCTCCCAGTGTCACAGGGATGAACTGATGGCTCCTTAAAATCTGCAGGTTGAAATGGCGTTGCGTGAGCGACACCCACCATCTTCATCGTCGCGAAGCGGAATACTCTCAAGCGACCATCCTTCAGGCAGATCACACAGCAGCGAACGCTTCTGGCACATCATGTTGACATGCGGGAAATCGATTGCTGTCAGAAGTAAGACCCGCTTGCTACAGTTCTTGCTGCCACTTCTGGCCAGCCACTGGAAGCGTTCATGCGTGAGGAAGGGTCCTCACAAACCATGACGAACATGCTGCCATCAGTGCTGATGGAGAAAGAAATCGCCTCAGGAGAAGATGCGAACACGATCAACAACAGCTTACCACGGGTCCATACACCCGGAAACGCATCGGAGCATTCAAGTGTCCAAGCAGCCTACGGCATCCTAAAACTGGGCCAACCTCCTTTCGTGGATTTGAGAGACTGCATGGCGAATGCATTGCAGTATGATAGCTCAAGATAGCTCATAACGGGCACCTCCAGAGTCAGAGAGATTATTGTCGGACTATGAGCTCTCATGGCCGAGAACTGGGCTCCCCTGGTTCATGTCATTTGGGCTTCGCATCTAAGGCCCATGCCAGGGAAGCTATTCCCAAGGATTCACCACACTTGGGCTTGCAAGCGAAGAGTTGAACATGTTCAGCAGAATGCAGCATGCACCACCATTTTTCAGACACCAAGTCGTGTTCAGCTGCAGCGCTCATCAGTTCGTAGTTAATTCGGGCAAGCAAACCGGGTCGCTGAGACATCGATATGTTACTCCCTTGCTGTCTGTACCAAGAAATTCCTATCGTACTGAGAACCTAGAGTGTCACGTAAGTTGGCGGTGTCCCAGCTGTGCATGTCAAGGAAGAGTGGGCATCTTTGCACATCACTCTCTTGTGCCCAGAAGGTGGTCAGTTAACTCCCCTTCACCGTTTGATGAGTAAGAGCTCCACTCCTACACATTCTCGTCCGTGGATCTTGAAGTACACTTGTTGTCACTTGTTTACAGGTGCTATCAACGAGCCTCCTTTCACGCTTTCACGCAGAGAAGGCGTAAGCCTTCGCTGGCGAGTGCGCCTTGGCATCCAACCCAATCTCCTCCGTGTCCTCCGAAATTCTCAGGGCTCCCCACCACTTGAGAAGGGCAAAAGCCAAGGCCGAAATAGTGCCAGCCCAAGCAATGACCATAAGAATCAGGATGAACTGCGCGCCGAGAGCAGTGCCGTTGATGCCCGTCTTGCAGCTGCCGTCGTCATTCGCCATGCAGCTGAATCCTGACCAGCCATGATAATGATCGAAGCCCTTGCCCCAGTCGAACAAACCGGCCGCAAGGACTCCCCAGATGCCACAGAAGCCATGAACTGGGCTTGCATCCACAGGGTCATCAATCTTCAAGAACTGGAGGAGCATGGAAGAGCCCTGGTACACGAAGGCCCCGACCAGACCAATGGCAAAGGCACTGCCGCACTCGACATTGCCGCAGGGCGCTGTGATGGACACCAGCCCCGCGAGGATGCCGTTGCAAAGGCCACCCACCTCAAAAAGAAGAGGAAAAAAGGATATGTGAAAAGACAGGATTCAGCAAACAGATGTTTCGAAGGTGCTCGGCAACATGAGACCGACATGCCCATCTACGAGTTGGAAAAAGGCTGTGGAACTTTAGTCGCAGGATTTGGAGCTCTGGTTGTCTGCTGCAGCTGCATGTGGCCAAAAACTGGGAAGTGAGTTCGGGATCCGAAGCAGATTTGGGAATCGGACATCTCGAAACAATGTGGGTGTTTCAGAGGAGCACACCAAACTCTTAGGTTGGCCTAGAGCAACTTCGATGTGCACTAAATGGCGCTGGGATTTCAAAACTTCAAGGAACTTCAAGGAACCTTTAAGGCACTGTAAGGAACTTTGAGGCTTCTTGCAAGCCCTCCGTTCAAGAAGTGCTCCTGGAGCCGAATGGCAGCTCGTCGCAGGGCGTGTGTTCGTTGTAACAGAAACTAGAAAGTCGCAGTGGCGTGTGAGATACTCCCCTCAAGTGCAAGAAGGAAAGCTCCATTCTGAGTCGACTGTCGCACGTCTCCTCTCCACTAGAATACTTTAGGTGTACCTGTCTGCTTATTTACGTGTTGAACACTTTCACTCTTCGGGATGTATGTCAGCATAGTCTTCTCTCCCAGCCACATCGTATTTACGAAGGATGATGTAGCGCAGGATGAAGACGGTGATGCCACCCGTGGCTGCCGCCAGCGTGGTGTTCATGGCCACCTGCGCCGCCAGGGCACCCGTAGAGCCGTCCGACATTCCCAGGGTGGAACCTTGCATCGGCAAACAGAAAAGAAAGCTGCTAGTACCTGCTGGTGTTCCCTCAAGAATGGGCCGCTTGTGAGGTTGATTTTGCTCCCACATCCTGCCCCGTGTGTGAAATACTACGCTGATTCTTGTTCGACTGCATGCTCGGGTCCAGCATTTTTGATGCAGATTCATTGACTTGCGCGAAATTGACTCACGCATTCTACGTGCTTCGCCCCAGGCAGCTATAAAATTGCTCCCGACAAGCATAAGAGTTACAGCTTTTTGCTCGCGGAGGCGTGGTGGGCCGCGGGATGCGGGGGACGCGGGGACATGGGGTTCGCGGGGGGACGCGCGCACGCGAGGGCACGGGGGGGCCCGGGGCGCTGGCCGCAGGCCGCAGGGCGCAGGCCTGCGGGATGAACGGGCTGGGGGGTTGACTCCGCTTGGCTTGTGACAACGGCAGCGTATGGCAGCGTCATCAGATCATAAAACGGCTGCCGTTGGCTGAACAGCCAGGCAGGCAGCCGCCATTCTCAGAATGCTGTGCACCCCCAACAGCAAGTAAGGGGAAAGTGGGCAGACATGTCTTAACACAGGCGCCAACCCGTGAAGGGGGGTGGCTGTGTTTGCCGCCTGTGCGCGTAGTGAAGCGGGGTTTATTGGTAGATCTTCTCCACCAGTTGTGGGATTCCATGCCGCGGGATTGCAAAGGCCTGCATCCAATTCAAGCAGCACGTGGAATGAGAAGTTATGGCGTTCTGCGCGCGCGGGCAACGATGAAGCAAACGCGTGTGGTGGGACGTGGAATTGCCGGATACTTGTCTGCTTATATGCTTTGATTCTATACTTATATACTTATATACAATATACGATATACTTGTATACGACATACTTATATGCTTATACGCTTACATACCCTTATAGGTATACTTATATATATATATATACATATACTTATATATACTTATATATACTTATATATACTTATATATACTTATATATACTTATATATACTTATACATACTTATGTATACTTATATTACTTTTATCTACTTATATATACTTATATATACTTACATATACTTATATATATACTTGTGTATACTTATATACTTATATATACTTATATATACTTATATATATACTTAATATCTTATATACTTATACACATACTATATATACTTATATATACATATATACTTATATATTATATACTTATATATACTAATATACTTATATATATATAATATACTTATTTTTACTTGTATATGCTTGTATATACTTATATATACTTATATTACTATATACTATATACTTATACTTATTACTTATATATACTTATATATACTATATACTTATATATACTTATATACTTATAATACTAAGTATATACTTGTATATGCTTGTATATACTTATATATACTTATATATACTTATATATACTTATATATACGTATATATACTTATATATACTTATATATACTTATATATACTTCTATATACTTATATACACTTATATATACCTATAAATGTTTATATATAGTTACATATACTTACATATACTTATATATACTTATATATACTTCCATATACTTATATACTTCTATACTTACGAATTTCTTATACTTCTACAATAATATACTTATATACTTATATACTTATAAACTTATATACTTATATACTTATATACTTATATACTTATATACTTTTATACTTATGTACTTATTTACTTATGTATTTTGAAACTTGTATAACGTATAGAACTTATATCACTCGACCAAGAAAAATCAAGTCTCCAGTGGATCGTTTGACCCAAATAAAAGACATGACAAGAGCATCCAAGGAGCCGGGGTTGAACCCATACCATCCAAACCAGAGTGCAAATGTGCCGAACACAACCTTGCTTGTCCAGTGTGGACCAAGACAGCTTACAACTAGGGTTACAAATGCCAAACCATTGTTCCAAACTTCACAATGCTGCACCATCAAGGAGCGAGAGGAAGATTGTGGGGCTCAAACTCTTCGGGATTGATGAAACGCCCCTTCCGCGGGCCAAGCACGATGGTTCCTGCAAGCCCACTGACTCCGCCTGTCAAGTGCACAATGCCGCTTCCTGCGAAGTCCATGACACCTCAGCACAAACACACGGGTACCACTTATGCAGGGGATGATGCTCAGGCGCTTCCCTACTGCTCCCCATGCTATCATGCACTGTCATGCACTGTCATGCACTATCATGCGAAGGCAAAATAAGGCCCAAGACACCGACATCCAAGATATCTCCGAGGAAGCCAGAGCCGCTCCATCCCCAATGTACAATTACCTTACTTCTCCAATAACAAAGGAAGAAGGAAGGTAAAACTTCATTTGTTCCTACTAAATAAGGAAACTCAACAAAATATCAAGTTCAACTCTTGGCCAAGTAGGTTACTGGGTAGATCAAGCTGGTCATGACGAAGGCATAAGACGCATACGTGGGACCCTGGACACGCTCGGCAACGGCTCCGCTGACGATGGTGGCCTAGGCTGCAGCCCTAAGAACACGCGAAGAGGACCTTCACATCTGCCTCAGACCCTCGTAAACCCAAGAACAAGGACAAATGAAAGTATCCCAGGGCCTACTGAGCAGCTCCAGCGGTGCAGAAAGCCCACTGGAAAAACCACATCAGCATGGTGCTCTGGCAAGCATTGCCAGCACAAGACAGAGGGACGATATTCCCGCTGGCGTCTTTTGTGTAGAACCCCTCTCCCAGGAACCCCGTGGTGCCAACGAAACGGTTGATGCCGGATCCGAGGGCGAAGGCATAACCCAACACCCACCAGCCGATAGTCCCCACGCAGACGTTCACCAAGTTCTTCATCAACACGTTTGAAGCATTCTTGGAACGGCAGCTCCCAGTTTCCAGCATGGCAAAGCCAGCATGCATGAACATGACCAGCGCGCCGCATAGACAAAGCCAAAGACTGTCCAAGGCGGCGGCCATGGACCCGTTCGACACTTCAAGCGCGGCCTTTTCCGTTGCCCAGGCCGCCGCTGTGACATTGCCGGCCATTTGCAGGCGACGCACTTCATCCTCCTCCAGGTCGGCAAGAGGTTTTGAGGTCCCTACAAAATCGAAACCGAAGGAAATGTAGATATGCATCGGAACTGAGCTGGGGAGCGAGGACTCCATATCTCTCCATTTCTCAGATTTTCTCACTCTTGCGGACTTGCTGCCATTGTAGCAATCACTGCAAGGATCTCAGAAGGACACAGTTAGACTTGCACTACAAAGCATGCCCAACTCCTCAAGGTCGGCGAGCTGGATGAACTGTTGCTGGATGATACTGCGCTGCTCTCGAAGTTGGCCTCGAAGTGCCTCAAAACAGCGGTGTGCAAGAGTCAAGGACGCTTGGCTTGCGACAGAGTCTCAGCGATCAGTTCAGTCAACCATCTAGCCGAGAGACATCGATCTCGGACAGGATTCGAGCCCGCTCTGCATCTTCACCCCAAGCGGGGAGTGCTCCCGCGCTCAACATCAACACTGCAAAACCTGAGAAGCTTCAGGTTCAAGGAACGTCAAGGAATAAAAAGATCCGGCATCTTCTTTCGCCAAGGTGTTGCGCGACACGGCGTCTGGATCATGAGGTGTTCCTCCTCCTCCTTCCCTTCTTTTCATTCTTTTTGGAGAAAGGTTTTGAAGGCAAGGGTTTAAGCCCAAGGTTCGTGACCACAGCAGAATGCTTTCAAAAGGCTTCTCGCAATTCTGCTGCAGGACTCCACGAGCTGATTGAGTTGGCTTTGAGGAGTGGCTATAAGTGCTTCTCATGCTGGCAAACCCAAAAAGCACAGTCCACGGTTCCTCTATGCATTTGTCATCTTCAGTGAGAGAAGGATTAGTGAGCGAGTGGATGCGAGAATGAATGAATGAATGAATGAATGAATGAATGAATGAATGAATGAATGAATGAATGAATGAATGAATGAATGAAGGAATGAAGGAATGAAGGAATGAATGGAGGAATAATGAAGGAACGAAGGAACGAAGGAGCGAAGGAACGAAGGAATGAAGGAATGAAGGAATGAAGGAATGAAGGAATGAAGGAATGAAGGAATGAAGGAATGAAGGAATGAAGGAATGAAGGAATGAAGGAATGAAGGAATGAAGGAATGAAGGAAAGAAGGAATGAAGGAATGAAGGAATGAAGGAATGAAGGAATGAAGGAATGAAGGAATGAAGGAATGAAGGAATGAAGGAATGAAGGAATGAAGGAATGAAGGAATGAAGGAATGGAGGAATGGAGGAATGGAGGAATGGAGGAATGAAGGAATGAAGGAATGAAGGAATGAAGGAATGAATGAAACAAAGGGTTTCGAGCTGCATCTGCCTCAATTGCTGGTCGCACCAGACGTCCGATACGCTCATCAGGCAATTGCACCTCGCGGTGCACATCGCCAGCACACTGAGGGACGAAGATTTGTGGCTGTAAACGTCCCGTCACGATTCCTGTGAGTCTTCCACAATTCCGACCCGTGCCCGGGTCCTTAGGAACTGCTTCTACGCTGGCGAATCCTGCGTTTTTCAGCCTGCATTCTTGTGAGGTCAAGTCCATCATCCTTGGAGCGCGCAGCACGGTGAAAACGAAGATAGTGGCAGAAACTAGGAACGTCTTGGAAGTCTAGGCTTGAGATTGTGGTCATGGGGTTGTGAAAACGTACTGTTCTTCAGCACGGAAGCCTTCTGACTGGGAAAGGTGGCTACAATTCACGGCATCTGGCCAGTTTCAACGTAGAGCAACGATCGTAAGTTAGCCACATTTGTTTCTTCCAGTTGTTGCTGTCGGTGGCCTTTTATCGAAGTCTCAACACGCGGCAATCCTCAACAAGTGCATTCAGTCCAGTCTTCAGCAAGGACTTGTGTCACGTGTTTCCAAGTCTATTCTTCCTAAACTTCTTGGAATCAAGACATGACAAGGAACCCCGCTTTTGAAGGAGCTCTCGTTGAAACATTGAAACAGGGCCGAATGCCATGCTGGTCTCAATCAACTTTCCAGCCCGGGCTCTTTGGATCGCTGTCTTTCAAGGTTCGCTCACTCCGCTACATGCTGTACTTGGACTTTTCCGGTGATTCCTCGAGGCCTGGTTGACAACTCATCCCTTCATTCTCTTCGTGGTCCAGTTTGCTCGACACCTTCTCTAGCAAGCATCCAACTACCCCGTGTGCTCTTCTTGGAGTCTTCAACTCGAGAAAACGCCCTGTCACCAGTTAAATCTGAATCCAAAACTCGCTCGCAAAAACCACCAAGCCAGGGGAGCGAGAAACCAACCACACCAAGACAACCCACGGCATCTGCCTCGATTGACAGGGGCCTCTTGTTTCAGAATCTTTTGTGGACTTCTCATGGGCTCTCCGTTCACGTCTTGAGACTCTTCTGGAGGAATTTGCGTGGAGCCGTGGAGCTGCAACTTGCACCTAGCTGGCAGAGGCGGACACCTGAAGCGTGTAAGATTAGTATAGCTCTGGGGGCCTGGCCTCTCATGTTCAACGACTTTTTGAGGGAAGCCTACTGTAGCACACGCTCGTTTAGCGTTGCGAGCTTGAGCCGGGCTGCGGGCCGCTCATGGCGGCATGTCAAGTCGTTCTAGATTCTCGATCTGTTCAGCGTCCTGAAAACATCTGAGAACCACGGCCACCATCCTTGCTTCAACATTCTAAGATGCCCACGTGCGTCTGGTTCTTTCGCAATTCATACCTGTGGTGCTGTTGCAAGGGTAGCAAAATTAGACACACCGACGCACAAAGCAAAATGTGCCCATGCTCTGGGCGCACATATGCGTTTCACTCTTGATCTCGAATCTGAGCCTGCGCTTCACGAGAGCTCTAACGTCCCAGGCAGTATGCGGCAAGATCGTGCCTTCCAGGGCGACTCTCCTTGTTTGGCATCTCCAGCGTGTCTGGGTCCCAAAGCTCAAGTGCCTCAGCTGAGCACAGACTCAATGTAGGACTCTGCCAATCGTTGGTGACAACAGGTCTTGGAGTAACAGGCATAGTTGTCACGAGGATGGTACGCCTGATTTGTCAGCGCTGACGCAGGCATGAACCCACGGATTGTACCTGAAATGCCGAGCAAGGAATCGAGGAGATCGGAAGTTGCTACGACCTCTCTATGCAATTGGCATTCGTGGAATTGCAGTACTGTTTGCCCCGTCTGCATACGGCAGATGCGAACCACCACTACCACAGCAGCAGCAGCAGCAGAAGAAGCAACCACGGCAACCACAGGGACAAGCCACATGGGTTGTGTGGATTGAGCTTTGTTCGTTAGCATCTTTGCACCCAAGTACATACGACGATCCGGGCAAACAAACATCGAGGCAAACGCGAACCCTTGATCTTCACATGCGAAGGAGGAGATTGTTGCCCTTGGCACTTACTCTCTCGGACCGGCCTGATGGCGTGGGCGGGTTCTGAATGGACCTGCCCCACAGTACCATGAGCAGGTGTTGCACATTGCTTGTGGCGCACTGCAGTTCTGGTGCAATTCTGACTGTTGACATGCATGTCTCCGATAGCATGACCTCAAGGGTTCGCAGAGGCTCTGCGGTGCCACTTTCAGGCTGCAGAATGTGCACCTCATCGAGCATTATTCGGGCATTGGGGGCAGACAAAGCTCTGCGTGACGAGCATGACAGACAGACCTGCTAGCATGCGACACATAAACATCAGATGCTACCCTCTTGGAAACAGATAACGAAAACATCTAGAAAGATGGTGTCATTGACGACCCGCGTGTGGAAGAATTAATGCATGCTTTTCCTGCCTTGCCGGACTCCGACTCAGACCTGAAGTTTCCATTACATAAACTGACAGTCAGTTTGGGAAGTATGCACGATAGTACATGCTTTCTGCGAGTGAGCCAAGCGCGCGGCACTGCAACGAGTGAGGTTGGAGCGTTTTTCTTATGAACGAACTCGACTTGAAGCGGCTTGAACTTCAACTTGATCATGCAGATCATGTCGAAGGATGTAACCTGCTCGGACAGGCCATGTTCGACTCAAGCACTTCCTCCGAAAAAATACAAGAAACACCGAATACTGGGGGCTGACAATGCCCAACTGTCAGACCTCTGACACATTTTGCAAGGGAACTGCAAGGGAGCCCCTGCTATCAGCAAGAGGCATGTTCTGTGGAGGGAAATCTTGGAATGGTTGGTTGACATAGTCTGTGGAAATTGAAGCAGCCAAACACAAGAAGATACAAGAAGCCTCAAACTCCGAGATTAACTTGTCTTGGACTGTGTTTGCTTTTGGCCGTGGGCTGCCGCAAATGAAAGACCAAATAAGTGCCTGCATACACACGTACTGTCACACATCTTCAACGAATCCTGATGTGCAATGGGCCAAGAACAAAAAAGCATACTGTTGTCAAGCTGACCAAACTCTGTGATCGGAAAAGCCAGTGGGACAGCATGAACGCTTCAAGCACGCAGGCTCTTCTGACATCCAAAACTTTGCAAGGCCAATCGCCCACATACATGTCCTTCAACTAGTAATAAGCCGTAGTCTTCGAAACTTCTGGTAACCTCAAACAGCTTCAGCGCATTGTCATCGCCGATGGTGGCGAGCAACCTTCCATCCTGGAATCGTGCAAGGGAACTCTTCCCCCGTGGCATCACGAACAGAGACGGCATCCTTGACCCCTTGACAGACATTCACGATGCTTCATGCACGCGCCTGTGAAATGACCATGGCTTGCAGTTTTCCTTGCCGGGCCAAAGCTGGGTACTGTGATTGCTGTGAGGGTTCTTGGCACCCCTGTGGCATCTGCGGCGGGCCGCATGAAAGACAAAAGCCTGGCCTAGGTGCGCTCGGTAATGTTTGACGAACTCAATGCCTTCATACTGTTTCTTCCAGAATTTGACCTGACGAAAACATCGAAGAAGGCACAAAGCTCCGAGAATGCCGTGAGTGAGTGAGATGCCAACAAATGCCAACAAGACACGTGGCCATCCTCGCTGCCAGTCACCAGAAACCCCGTGGCATTGCTGCAAACTGCAAGGTGGACCACATCCCGGTGCATAAAACTCCTTGCATTGCCATGAGGCACGATAGGCAACCACGAACCGAACGCCTTTCAACAGAGAATCCCTGCGAGCATCACGCTAAAGATGCACCAAGTGGCTTCTCGTACATCTCTCCTTTGGGCAAGTTGTCCAGATATACGTGCGCATTCTTCAGCACCTTCAATGGCCGTTATCTGCTGCTGTCGCAAGAGTCAGAATGCAATGGCAAAACTGATTCGCGACCCCACCTTTTTTCGTTTCGGCTTTGTCTGTGCCGGCGCTGGCACTGGCCTTCAAGCAACCAATGCCAACTCGTCAACAACATGCCCACTGCATCAGCAAAATGCAAGCGCGGAGCATTGGTCCGAAACCGTCATCGTCGTCATCATCGTCATCATCTGGATCTGGATCCAAAGGACGTTTCTCTCCTTGCATCTCCGGCATGCTGACGCCTGGCGGAACGAAACAATAGCAATGTGCTAGAGGCAAACGACAAAACGCGGTGCTTACCAACAGCTGCCTGCAGGGATCACAATGAGGCCCAAGTCAAACTCAACATGGGGTGAAGCAGTTGTTTGTTAAGCAGTTGTTGCGTGCCAGAGTTTTTGGGCAAAGTTGGTTCCATATTATTGTGTATGACCACCACTCGAGGTGAATTCTGCTGCAAGCCGACAGATCACAGCGTACATTCAAGCATGCAGGATTCAAGTTATGATTAGTGCAACATCTTGCGACAATGATTTGTGGAAAGTGCCATTTACAACAAAAAACTCGCACTTGCAGAAAAGTTGTTCCATTCACCTGAACATGTAATTGTTGAAGGGTCGGGTTCTCTGAAGCAGACACAATCATATCCTCATGATGCGCATCTTTCGGCAATACAACAACTAAAGCATGAACATATGTTGACTAACAATGGACAGACCTGCACAAAATGCAAAATTCATGGGTGCACATTCCAAATGTTCATTCCATTGCATGGCAAAGGAAAGATCTGGACTAACGGTTGGAATGGAGCATGCACCTCTGACATCGCACCCAGTGGGGGTTGTCGGTCGGGAGACATGTCCTGCCGGCTCATTGGGTTGAAACAGCACAGGTGCCCATGCTTCATCATAGGCCGGATGCTCAACAAGCAGAGATCGTGACCAAAGACCTTTCCTCAACGCGCAGGGCACTGTGAGAGGTGCCCGTTTGCAGCGACGTTAAAAGAACCTGCCTAGCTCTGAGCGAGAAGGCCAACATTCGAACCGCCCGCCTGGAAAAAATGGAGCGCTAACAAAACGTGTTCTGCCAGGTACCAAAATAGAACACTTCCTTACCTCAGGGTTATGCAAAGGGGTGAGGATTGTTCTTTTTCGTCGTTCCATGCCTGCCAAATTAGGAAGCCTTGCACCTCGCCCTTGCACAGCCCTTGCGCATGCGTTCGCCCGCGAGCTTTTCTCACTTTGGTGTTGAATTCAGTGGCCCAAGTCTGGCATCAATGGTTTTTGATGGCTTGGAACTTCGACTCGTGGTCAAAGGCTCAAGCCTTCTGCTGGGTTTAACGGTTAACGTTGCGAAGTTTACGGGTCGCCGGTGGCCAAACAGTCGCCCTGGCGCAGGCTTAAGCCAAGCTTGTCCGAGTCTGTGCTTCCACTGGTCCAGCGCCAGATGGTCTTCTGGCAGTGGCCTGTAGCTGTTTGGGAATCAATGACTGCTGTAAAAAGTGCCCTCATACAGTCGAGCTCGGTTTCTGGCTCGTCGGAAAGCCCTTTTGCGAGTCCAATGCAGTGGTTGCGCTGTAGCATTGCCTTTTCCTAGTAAGTTTCATCCTAGAAGCGACTACCGGACCAATTGTGGAACCTCGGGTCTGTCAATGTCGGACCTGTATGCCTTCCATTTTCCCTTGACCGTGGGACTTGGGACCCACGGGGCTGGTCATAGTTTTTCAGAAATAGCCGAGGCAGAAAAGAATCTAGAGAGCCACGAACCCTCAGGGGACCTAACCTCGCCACACAGCACAGCAGAGCTCCAGGCAGCAGTAGTAGGAGTGGTAGTGGTAGTGGTAGTGGTAGTGGTAGTGGTAGTGGTAGTGGTAGTGGTAGTGGTAGTGGTAGTGGTAGTGGTAGTGGTAGTGGTAGTGGTAGTGGTAGTGGTAGTAGTAGTAGTAGTAGTAGTAGTAGTAGTAGCAGTAGTAGTAGTAGCAACAATAGGAGTAGCAGTAGCAGTAGCAGTAGTAGTAGTAGTAATAATAATGATGATCGCAGCAGAAGTAATAATAGTATTGTTAAGATGTCACAAGAAAGGCATTGACACAACAGATCCTGCCTGGGGATGCCTGTATGCATGAACCTTCAACTTAAACACGCATTTCCAGGGTCTTGTGTAAGCCTCCTAAACCCGAAAAAACATCTAAGAAGAAGCAGGCATGTATCTGTCGGCCAAGGCCTCAAGGCAGTCATGCCACAAACCGACCAGCTATTAATGCAGGGCTTGCCATCGTGGCAATCCTAAATGAACATCCTCCTGATGCCTGAATACTGAATGTGGCGAACAGCGGTTTGTCCACAACTCCAGCGCGAAAGAACGGAAAGCCCGAAGCCCCTTGGGGGCCGAGGAAATACAACAAGCCCCTTCAGGGCTGTGTACGGGTAGAGGATCCGCAGCACCGGGGAAAAGCGACAAGATCCCTATCTCGCTCCACCTGCAAGAGCTGCAAGACAACGTGTGGGATCAAGAGCAGTGCGCCGAAGAGTATGTGGTGAACACCTTAGCTTAGGGCATAGGGTGTATGCCTTGCTTGCAGAAGGTGTTCATGGGCAATTAACTTATAGTTTTTTCTACTTTGTAAGGAACCCCCAACCCCTTTGTCTTGGGAATGTACTGCTAAAGGGATGTGAAATCCCAGCATGGAGCTCCGAAATCCGGGGCGTTGCACTTCTTGAAGGCCTCAAACCCGAACTCCAAACCCAAACCCTAAAGGGCCCAAACCCTAGAACCTCATCCTAATCCCCCTAACAAGAACCCGAATCCCTAAAAACCCTGAAGCTCCCCTAAGCTAACAGCAAAGATGCCAGCGGCTCCGACTCCACATGAGGCGTAGCACTCGGCATGACCTCGCGGGCCGCAGCCGGGCTCGAGCAGTGCGCGCATCCAAAACGCTGCCATCAAGGCAATGGATGCAGGCACCTGCCAGGACCCCCCAAGTGCCCTTTAACAGAGTCCGGCCCAGAATATTGGGTATTGATGGTACAATAGAGGGTAGTTCGGGGGTCTAGGCGTAGGGCAAGTTACAAGGCTTTAGTGGTTTACAGTGGCTTGGGGTTTAGCTGCGCGGTTTCTAGGGTTTAGGGTAATACCTCTTCAAGATGGATAGGACTGCCGGATGTTACACAGGTGATCCCGAGAATCGATTTCGTGGTCCGCGTACCATGCCGTGATATATGCATATGTATATATATATATATAGGTGTGTATATATGTGTATCACTTTAGCACCTTTATCTTCAAGTAGGGCCGGATCTTCAGGTTCTTCCATGAAGCCAGTGTCCAACTCAGGATCATCCACAAGTATGCGACGCTCACGGCCGACGCCTCGACGTACTCCCCCGGATCCTCTGATACATCGAATACAGACCCCTTAACTCGCTAGTTCTGGGATGGTTTGGGAACAGGCCTTTTTCCGACGTTTCAGGGAACAGTTTATGCCTGCTCGCAATATTGACAACCCGGCTAACCCGGTCGGCCGGGAAGTCGGACTGTCCAACTGTAGCCTGACTGCGCGTGTACCTGAGCATAGGACTGTGATGTATCATATGGCTCAAATTTAGTAAGGGGCACTGGCGTAAAAAGGTCGCGCCGTCTGGTCTTTGAGCACTAAGCATGACACGAGAAAGAGCCCTCTATGAACCCTAGCCCCCAAACCTACAAACGTGTGAAGCCTGTGGGAGGCCTGAATATGAGGCATACGGGCTCAACATCTACGCTGGAGCTCCTCGGTACCGAAAGCATCGGACACCTCCAAGATGACTGCGACGAAACCGACCGTTAATCCGACACTGGACATCCAAGCCTGGGCCACATTCCCTACTGTGTGGGGATACCTATAGTCTCCATTGTAGTTTTTGGTTTTGGTTAACCAAGTCCTATATGGTTAGGGTCCTGTCATATTAAACTGCTTAACCAACAGAAGGAACTAAAATGGAGACTACATGTGAAGCCTAGATTCCAAACCCTAATGAAAAGTATCATGTAATATAGAGGCACTTGCACTGGTAGGGCTTCGAGGTTTAAGGGAGTGGGGTTGAGGCTGAGGAAGTTTAGGGTTTTTCAGCTTCGACGGTTTGTCCCATGATGCTCACAAGGCCGAAAGCTTTCAGGGGTGCTGATGCACAGCCATGCCTTCGAAAGGCCTGAAGCCCAACCCCACAGCTAAAGCTCGCGGTTCCAGGTCTAGGAACCCTCGGCAAACCTCGACCTTCTATGACACACACGAGTACTGTCGTGATCTCCGAAACAGACGCTACCGCTACGATTTGCTGAACCGCAATACCCGATTATTCGGCACGTTGGTGATGCATTTGAGTTGGGATTTGGGCATGAAACCCCTAAAACCTTTGCAAAACCCTTATGAAGCTCTGGGAAACCTCAGACACCTACTTGGCAAACCCTATGAAAGCATTGTGCATACCCTTCAACACACTTTTGCAACAACTCATAAAAGCTCTCATTGCAAGAAACGCCTTGCGTATTTCTTTTAGAACCCCTTTCAAAAAACCCCAATCGATCCCGTCAAGGAGACATTTCAGAAAGAAGGCCCAGAAGCCAGGATCCAGAGACGATTCGGAAATAGCTTCTCAGCTACACCAACGCCGATACACCTGGGCCACTCTCGGAATAAAGGTTTTGCTGTGAGGGCTTCTATGCGGGATTCTATGAGGGTTTCTATACAAGTGCAGTAAGGACACATAAAAGCATTCAAAACCTCTAAATCCTAACCCAAAGTAACCGTTACAGTGCTTAATCGATCGAACCAGGCACAGCCGACAGCCACATGCCAGAACGAGTAGCACACGGGCAAAGAGCAGCTCGGTGTTTTCACCCGCGAAGGACATCAGATGAGCAAGGACCTGCAATAGCAGGGAGACGGTGAAGAGCGCGAAGTAGCCTGTGTATAGGATCCGGTAGCAAAATCCGGGCCAGCTATCCACGACTTGGCAACCGCCTTCGTCGTCATAAATTACCCGACAGCAGTTAAACCCGCAGAAAGCCAGGAAGAACAGCGCGGGAAGTCCTGCACCAAATATCGCGCCCCCATACTGACCAACATTCTGGTATGGGTCCAGGATGATCTCGTTCGTAATAACACCCGGACATGGACCCATTGCGCTCGTGGCATTCATGCTTGCTGAAGCGGTGGTCGTCGAAGCTAAACCCCAAACCCTAGCAAGCCAAAGAAGGATCAAACACCCCCTTCAGAAGAGCAGGAGCAGAAATAGCCGGCAAAATTTGAAGAAGTGTTCGCAATCCCTGAACAACCAAACCCCTCACCAAGCCAGAGCAGGACGATGTTTAACCTAACGTGTTACATTATCTGTAAAGGGTTTAGGGTTTAGGGTTTAGGGTTTAGGGTTTAGGGTTTAGGGTTTAGGGTTTAGGGTTTGGGGTTTAGGGTTTGGGGTTTGGGGTTTAGGGTTTAGGGTTTAGGGTTTATGGTTTAGGGTTTAGGGTTTAGGGTGCAGCTGCTTCAGTTTCAACATGTTATGACAAGGTTTTCGAGCCACAGTTTCGCAAAGACATGCCCCAGACGGCCCGAAACTGCGGGATTTGATGCGCTGGAGGCAAACTTGACACGGAATTGTGTACTAAAATTCCATAAGCCCTAAACTTTAAATGCTAAACCCAGAATTCCCTCATCCCGAAGCCCTGAAGCCTCTGATCATCCAGCGGTGCGTGCGGCCCTTGAGGTGACCGGCCCCGCGTAAACGCCAAGGACGCAACGCTGGTTACCGTTTATGGCAAAAAAAGGAAGAAAGTGCAAGATAAAACTGGATGCATTTCTTCAACAATCGGCGACGGTCAACATCTATGTGCTTGAATCCTACCTCGCACGTTGTGCTAAGCTTGTGAGTCAACCGAATGCGCAGCAGGATTTCGCATCCTTGGCACCGTATGATTTTCAGGATTTGCTTGCTCAATGCGGCAGTCCAGGGACAGAGAGGGTCAAGGCATTCTGCATCGAAAGGAAACAGTCACAAATCAATGCAAGTGACTCAAGGAAAGAATATGTGAAGAAAAAATTGATCAATCCAATGCGCACGTCAACTTTTTGTCGCGTAAGGCGAGACAGGGGCTGCTTGAGTGCTTGGCTACTCCAGTCATTCTTTTTGAGACAAGTGAATACGAGGGAGCACAGCTCTACGAGCTAAGTCAGCTCCGTCCGCACGAATCACTCCCCCCATACCGGGACGGGGGCGGAACAACAACAACAACCCAGGAACCCGGGTTCGGAACCCAGGTTCCAACCCAGGTTCACAATTCTTAATGCCACACACAAGACTTACCTAGCGGGCCTAAGCCGAAAGCTAAAAGCTAAAAGCCAACTGCAAGACTACGACTGCAACACGCTCTCTCACTTTTGACTTTGCCGGTTATGCAGCTCTGAGTAGTTAAGCGAAAGCAAAGCTATGCAAAGCGTAACTACAAGCCAGTAAGCTAGAACACCCAATTTATAAACTGGCAAAGTCAAAGCTCGCCCGGCCTACTCACCAATGCAAACACCATTGAGTAAACACAAATACCGTTCAAACCCAGGTTGCAATTTTTCCCGAATGCTCCGCAGCAGGGTTCCCGTTTTAAAGTTGGGGGTCTTGGGGGTTGGGAGGTTACCAAACGTCGTTGCGTTGTGTCCGCAAAGCGTCCGCAAGCGTCCGCAAAGCGTCTGCAAAGCGTCCGCAAGCATCCGCGAAGCGTCCGCGAGTGGCGTAACGCGGCTGTTAAGGGCAGGGGGAACTGCACAGGACGCGTGTGCCCGCGGCGTTTTGAATCAGTCAAGCTAAGGGGGAATTCCACAGGACGCGCGCCGTTGTGGCGTTCCCGCGGCGTTCCGAATCCATCAAGCTAAGGGGGAACTCCACAGGACACGCGCCGCCGCGGCGTTCCACGCCGCCGTGGCGTTCGACGTGGCGTTCCGCGGCGTTCCGAATCCGTCAAGCTAAGGGGGAACTCCACAGGACGCGCCTCCATGGCGTTCCACGTGGCGTTCCGCGGCGTTCCGAATCCGTCAAGCTCAAGGGGAACTCCACAGGACGCACGCCGCCGTGGCGTTCGACGTGGCGTTCCGCGGCGTTCCGAATCCGTCAAGCTCAGCAGGGGGATCCACGCGGCGTTCCGCGGCTTTCCGAATCCGTCAAGCTAAGGGGGAACTCCGCAGGGTACGCGTCCCCTGGTACTGGTCCCGCGGTGGTCCGTGGGGCGGCGGTGTCCGTGGTGGTGGTGTCCCGTGGCGGTCGTCGTGGCGGTGGCCCCGTGGCCCCGCGCGGTGGTCCCATAATTGGTCGTCCCGCGATCCCGCGGCGGCGGTCCATGGTGGTGATCCGTGGCGGTGGTCCGTGGTGGTGGTCCCAGGTGGTGGTCTGCGGCGGTGGTCCCGTGGCGGTGGCGGTGGTCCCATGGTGTGGTCCCGTGGAGGTGATGGCTCTCGGCTCACGAGCGTTTTGCTAGCTTTCTCACCGTTGATTTTACATGGTCTTTCACGTTTTCTTACTTGGCATGCTGGGAGTTTTACACGCTCTTTGGGCTGCATGTTGTTTTTGTGGTTTTGGACAACTTGTTTTTTCACACGAGATTTTAAGACTCGCATGTGCAGAGCAATAGGGGGCGCTACGATGAAGTCCCTCTTTTCCATCTAAGCTGAAAGCTTATGCGAAACTTTTCAGCGCAGACGCTGATTTTTCGCATTACAACATGGCTCCTGATTCACACGCAATGCTGGTTGGTGCATGCCCTGACAGCAAGATTGGCATATACAGTGTGCAGGGCCTCTGGTATATCACATCCAGACACAACAAAGTTCATGCCAGTGGTTGGGCAGCAGGAGAGTGTATGGCAGGCCACATGCAATTCATGGGCAGGAACATGAATGCAGACGGCAGGGCACCCGGTATGGCTGGCTTGATGAGCTGGACTGATGATTACGATATTGGAGCATCGAATGCCAGACCTCACCTTAACACAAGTACATTCCAATATGATTTGCACTGGCAGCCCACGCATACCTTGCAGACATGCTGCAATCAGTCGCAAAGATTGTTGATCTCTGCAGCTACGATACAGCAGTGTGCCGAAACATTACACGACCTTTATTTCCTTATCGGCAATCCTTGAAGGTTATAACTCAAATCAGTCAATCTCAGAAAATTTCTTTTCAGAGAATCGATTATCCCAGGGATCGAATATTAGAGACCTCACCCTAATTATTCAATCCTTTCGAATAGGATTCCAGGTCAGCTCGCAATATTTATTCAATCGGTCTTCTTTGTCCATAAAGAGCATGGGGGCGAGTACGCGAACGCTGCATAGCGGCACATGTGGTGGACGCAACAGACAGCCCCGGATCCTTTGGCCCCTCGGCCCACAGAGCAGCCCGTGCATCACACTCAAGGAAAGCGCGTCCTTCCCCGGATCCTTTGGCCCCTCGGCCCACAGGGCAGCCCGTGCATCACACTCAAGGATTGCGCGTCCTTCCCGGGTGGGTGGGTGGGTCAAAAGGAAGGACACAGCTACTCCGGCTGTCACCCTTGAGCGGCCGGCGCGGTACAACTGACTCATGACCCCATTCTGCAAATCATCATGCAAAATTCCCACACAGGAAAACATATCGCTTTTCCAGCAGACGCACAAATTATGAAACTTGTTTGACATATATAAACTTCAAGGACGGTAACATTTACCTGTTGCCTACGGAAATAAGGTGATCTCACGTTCCGTGAAATTTCTCTTATTTCCTTATCGGCAATCCTTGAAGGTTATAACTCAAATCAGTCAATCTCAGAAAATTTCATTTTCAGAGAATCGATTATCCCAGGGATCGAATATTAGAGACCTCACCCTAATTATTCAATCCTTTCGAATAGGATTCCAGGTCAGCTCGCAATATGCATTCAATCGGTCTTCTTTTTCCATAAAGAGCATGGGGGCGAGTACGCGAACGCTGCATAGCGGCACATGTGGTGGACGCAACAGACAGCCCCGGATCCTTTGGCCCCTCGGCCCACAGAGCAGCCCGTGCATCACACTCAAGGATTGCACGTCCTTCCCCCCTTCAGCCCCAAAGACCCGAACTAAGCAATCCTGGCATTAGGAAGTTTCTGCATACCGCGGCGTGACCCTTTTGAAGATCCCTGCGTACGATTCGAACTCCAGGCGGGATGCTGCATCGGCAACGTTGCTTTTGGAGGGCACCCAGCAGACCCAAGTCAAGCAACCCAGCCGGACATCAAGCTCGAAAATGTCCGCCAGAACCTTTGAAGCATCAACCAAAGGCGAGTATCCACGAATCAAAGCTGATTTCGCCGCTTGGTTGTCTACGAAGAGCAAGACACGACGATTCCGAAGCCTGTCCGCCCAGGTTCTTTTGGCGACAAGCACCGGGAAGAGCTCCGCAAAGAAGATCAGCTGTCTGCGACCAGACTGTCGCCACCCGGTGACGACGTCGTCCGGAACTCTATCTCCGAACACCTCCTTGAACCCAGTGGCCTGATCGACGACCACTGCGCCACGCGTGACAAGGTCAGATTCGTGCGCTCCATCTGAAAAGATGACGATCGGAGGCTGCTCCGACCACAAAGATATCCTCCTCGGGCCCGCTTCCTTCAACGTGCCTATGGCCAACCGAATAGCACGACACAAAGACTCGAAGTCAGCCGACTTTGACCCGAAGCTCTTATAGTGCCGGATCAGTGGGGTTGCAATCCGAGCACACTTCCCAAAGACGTGTCCCGCCGCATACAGAAGCTTGCCCTTCAGCGACGGCAGCACATCGACTCCCTTTGGGCCTCGAGCCTCCAAATCCTTAGCTAACTTCTCGATGTCTTCAATCCTCTCCGGCTTGTTCGAGACGTTGACGAAACCTTTGGAAAGCTCATTGAAGGAGATCGTGGCACCAAGCATGTTGAAGGTAGAGGAAAATTTCTTAAGCTTATCACCCGTAGACACTTGCCACCCGAGTAAGCTCATCAGCTCCAACAACGCAGACGAATCAGCCGACTTCGCAAGAGGTGCACCTCCAGTTGGCAATAGTCATCGAAAAACTTGTATTGGTCAGAAACAGCAAGCGACTCATGATCATTTGCAAAGCTCGTCCAGCTCTATTAAAGCCCGTAACACGCTTGTTGCTCCAAACGGAAGTGCCAGTGATTCAAAGTAGAGCACCTTGTCCAACTCCACGTCCAAGACCGCTAGCACCGACGTCCACCAACGTCCACCGGCGGCTGGATGGACTGCAGTTGTGAATAAGCGGCTTTCAAGTGCCCGGCCCAACAACCGTCTGGCCTCACCTTCCTAAAGTCAGGGTGCAATCTTCTTGTAACGGTTCCTTTGGACAAAGACGAAAGTCTGAAGAAATCCACCTCCGCCACAGTGGCACCGCCAAAATACCGGGCCAGACAAGTAATCTTATCGATATCTTTAAGCAGGATCTTCTTGGTCTCGGTCACCATCGCATTGACAAGAACTTGCTCAGGTCATCCACGGCTCTCACCTTATCGCCTTGAACAACGCCAAACCTTTTCGAACACATCCAGGTGCCGGCATGGCGTTTATCCATCTGCTTCCACAAAAAAGGGCCCCGCAACCAGCCTTTGTCGACTTGATCCAGGGATTCAGCGTACACCTCTTTCGCGACAGCTTTGTCCTTTGCCGCTCGCCTGCAAGAAGCCTCCACTGAATACTGCGGGGGCACTCAAACGTGTCCTACGCTTCTTGTGTCTTTCTGGGGTCGGATTTGGCTTCACTTGAGGCACATTCTCCAAACCCCCAGCAAAGGGCCTGCCTTGTCCCAAATCAATAAGTGTTGTCGAAAATCCCCTTTCCCCAATGGCAATGTTGCAACACGTTGGTCATGTCAGACCGACCTTCGGCATCCAACATTGCCATTGGGGGCTCGGGGGCACAGACAAGCATCCTTTTCCAGGCTCTTCAGGCTCCAAGTCCTTGCGATTTCAAGGTAGCTCTCAAGGTCGGGCTGCGCTGCTTACTGCGTTCTGCAGACCCTGCATGTAACACTGCAGCAACCTGCAGACCCTGCAGACCTGCAGCAAGCATGCGGACTCTGCAGCAAGCCTGCAGGCCCTGCAGCAGCCTGACGCAGCAAGCCTGCAGACCCCTGCAGCAAGCCTACAGCTGCAGGGTCTGTAGGCTGTCGGCAAGCCTGCAGACCCTGCAGCAGCCTGCAGGCCAGCAGCGCCTGCGGGCAACCTGCAGACCCTGCCGCACGCCGCCCCTACAGACCCTACAGCAAGCCTGCAAAACCTGCTGCCTGCCTCTCCCCCAGCCCGCATGGCTTCCAGTCTTCAATTACTTGGGCATTTTCCTGCATTCACACAGAGTCCATTTCCCCTTGTAAACACAAAGGCTTGAAGGCCCCAGAGTCTGCAGGAAGCTTGAAAGCCCCTGACCTGTAGAACTGCAAATTAAAAACCAGGTGTCACATGCTCCGCGCTGTCGGAAAAGCTGGATTTTTCCGCCAGTCTAATTTCATGAAGACTAGTACTACACGCTCCGCACTGTGGGAAAAGCTCCGCGCTGGGGAAAATCCACAGTGTACTACATGAATGCATAGTTTTTTCAAAACTTTAAGGTTCATGTAATGTTTCTACTTGGAATCAAGGTACTACACGCTGTTTTCCCGCATTTTTTGAGTGTAGTACTCGTGTACAGGTCTGCTACACGCGCTTTCTCAAGGGTTATACGGTTTACCAGTCTTTCAAATACTCAAGTAAGGCCTCACAATCCCCTTCAAGGGCTCCAAAACCTCATCAGGACCTCCCAGAGCCTTTTTTCCAACTTTTGCGGGCTGCCCGTTGGAAAAACCGCTGAAAAACGTGGTATCGCGCGGGTCCACATTCAGGACCGACAAACGACGAGAAACATAGAACGCATCAGAGTACCCCCCCAGTGGCAACCTGAATGGCGCCTAAATGAATAAGTAAAGGCCACCACCGACCGCTTGCCACGCAGCGGTGCATTTTTATTGTCTTATGTTGGGAGCGGTCCTCACGTCGGGCAAAATTTCGGCGAGCTTCAAAAGTGTGTCTTCTCATCAGAAATCGCACAGTTTTTGGCCTTCATTTTAAGGGCAGAAATTGGGTCCCAAAACTGGGTCTGCCTGATTCGAAACTCTCAGAGAAGATCCCATTTCGGGTTTCGCTTTGGGGTCCAAAAATAGGACCCCGGAATGGACCGTGAAACGTGGCAAGTGTGCTTTCAATTTTGCGGAGACACGCAAAGCATGCACCACATGTTTGGGTCAAGCGCAAAGATTGTCAGCGGTCGCTTAAGACTGTTGGCAATAGCGTTAAGTATTGCACATGACAAGCTGAATTGCAACTGCGGGACACTCAAACGTGTCCTACGCTTCTTGTGTCTTTCTGGGGTCGGATTTGGCTTCACTTGAGGCACATTCTCCAAACCCCCAGCAAAGGGCCTGCCTTGTCCCAAATCAATAAGTGTTGTCGAAAATCCCCTTTTCCCTTCCCAATGGCAATGTTGCAACACGTTGGCCATGTCAGACCGACCTTCGGCATCCAACATTGCCATAGGGGCCAGCAGCGCCTGCGGGCAACCTTGCAGACCCTGCCGCATGCCGGCCCCTACAGATTCCAACAGCAAGCCTGCAAAACCTGCTGCCTGCCTTTCCTCCAGCCCGCATGGCTTCCAGTCTCCAGAGCCTTTTTTCCAATTTTGCGGGCTGCCCGTTGGAAATCGCTGAAACGTGGCGGGTCCACATTAGGACCGACCAACAACGACAAACAGACGCTGCTGGATGAGAGCAGGCGATGAGGAGGTTATTGATTCTGCCGACACAGAAGGGGGAAGCCATTGCCTACAACCTTGAACAAGGGTGCAACAGCCAACTGCGATGTGCCCGCTTCTTTTTGCCGTTGCCATCGCACCTTCTTATTGGCATCAACGGGGGGGGGCGCAAAATGCGAGAGTTTGCCAGATCATCAAAACCACCACCATGAGCCACTTGTGCAAAGAAGGTCAGGCACGGAAAGCTGTAAATCGAAGAAGGAGGACTCTGCTGACTGCGGCCCCAGGTTCTACTTGATATGTGGCCGGATGGGGCGCGTGCTGGCCTGGGATATTGGGCCATTTTGTACCTTCCCTTTTCGCTGCTGTGTGCCTGGTACCTGACTGGTATAATGCTGCCACTAGGACCCAACCAAGCAACTTCTCAGCTTCTGGTATAAACTGTGCTGCCACGGCAACCCCAAGAGCCTGAGCCCTCGGCCCTTGTTTGAACGTTCTTAGAATTGAACACTTATGATAAGCAAACATGTTTTGCTCAGCAAACTTGAAGCAATCGCTGTCCTGCCCGTGAGACCCATGCCTGCGCAGTTTCCAGAGAAGTACACTGCAGCTGTTTTCTGGATCGCGGAAGTCAGAAGCTTTGCAGGCTTCAAATCAAGGATCCAATGTTAATATAAGCCAAGCTTGGGGGCAATTCCTTCTAAGAGCAAGGTTGCAGGTATTACCGTGGACGACTTGCAGCACTGGGAGGGTTCTCCAATGCGTTGACGCATCTTGTTGCTTCTATCTTAGACTGCCCAGATGTGGGCGGGTGTTTCTGCCCCATGGCTTGCCTGCGGCTGTAAGACTTGAATTAGCTCCGTCGAAGCCTTCTTAACAATGCACCCTGCCTTGGCCCATTTGCACATGCCCACACACGGCTGCATTAACGGCTTTACATGTGAGCCTTGCCGCGGATAGAGCAGGTAAACTAGCCGCCGCTCGCACGATGCTTGGAAAAGAAGAACAGCTATTCTGGCTGTTTCTCTCAGCGCCCGATGCGAAGGTCGATTGTCCTGGATCAAACCGAAACGATGCATACGTCGAGCAGGCTGGTCAACAACAGATGCAAGGAGATCCAGTCGGTGGCTGCACGCTGGTCTTAGAAACCCATCAGGCTGAAGCAGTGGCTAAAAGAACCAGTTCAAGCTCCAGTCCATCGAATCCGCACGAAGCGAATCGGAGTCCTTTCAACAAAGGACCTTCTCGAGGGAACCACAGGTGATCAGCACGAACAAGATCTCAAAGCGCGCACAACCGTAGAAGGCTTAGAAAGCATGCTGGATACGAGAACTCGTCATCGCATGCAGCCATTTGCGTGTTACAATTTCTGTCACTAGCAGTGCATCGCCCGCTCATCTTTGTCAGGGCGGAAAGTGGATGGCGCTTGCAGGTCAGAGGTGCATATCGTGCCAACAGGTTGCGAGCCGGCTCGTCCTTGCCACCGGGTTGTGGAGTTTTAGCAACTTTTGTGGGAGGTTAGGGCATTCCCAAAATCAATCAATGTTGGAACTGCTGCTGCCAAGTGTCAGCGGTGGGCGACATCCAGGAGTGCCCATGTTGATGCACCTTCCCGAGAGGTCGAGGCACGGAGGAAGCAGTTCCAGCGCCCTGACACGTCTGACCCCAAGGAAGATCCCCTCACAGGGGCCTTTTTCTTCTTCACAATCTTCTTGATGGTCGGGGCTGCGCAGGCTTGCCGAGTTCCAATGGGTTCGCAGCTGCGACTTTCAAATGTTTTTGCAGGTTTCATGTATTTTGGTGAAAACTCAGTGAAAGCTTCAGAATGTTCAACAAGAAAAAATTAGATTTTGTTTTTGTCAACAATTTTATGTGTCACAGTGTGTTGGAATTGTACCCAATTTGATTAATTTTTGTTTTCCTAGTATTTTTTTATTGATGTTTGGTGTTATTGGGTTTTAGTGCGGTTGTGTGGGTTGTGGTTGTCACGCGGCGTGGGTGTCGCAGCAAGGAGGAGCAGTAGTAGCAGGAGTAGTAGTAGCAGTAGTAGTAGCAGTAGCAGTAGCAGTAGCAGTAGCAGTAGCAGTAGCAGTAGTAGTAGTAGTAGTAGTAGTAGTAGTAGTAGTAGTAGTAGTAGTAGTAGTAGTAGTAGTAGTAGTAGTAGTAGTAGTAGTAGTAGTAGTAGCAAGAGTAGTAGTAGTAGTAGTAGTAGTAGTAGTAGTAGTAGTAGTAGTAGTAGTAGTAGTAGTAGTAGTAGTAGTAGTAGTAGTAGTAGTAGTAGTAGTTAGTAGTAGTAGTAGTAGTAGTAGTAGTAGTAGTAGTAGTAGTAGTAGTAGTAGTAGTAGTAGTAGTAGTAGTAGTAGTAGTAGTAGTAGTAGTAGTAGTAGTAGTAGTAGTAGTAGTAGTAGTAGTAGTAGTAGTAGTAGTAGTAGTAGTAGTAGTAGTAGTAGTAGTAGTAGTAGTAGTAGTAGTAGCAGTAGTAGTAGTAGAGTAGTAGTAGAGTAGTAGAGTAGTAGTAGTAGTAGTAGTAGTAGTAGTAGTAGTAGTAGTAGTAGTAGTAGTAGTAGTAGTAGTAGAGTAGTAGTAGTAGTAGTAGTAGTAGTAGTAGTAGTAGTAGTAGTAGTAGTAGTAGTAGTAGTAGTAGTAGTAGTAGTAGTAGTAGTAGTAGTAGTAGTAGTAGTAGTAG